GGAAACATACTTGTTGGCTGGGGCTTCTGACAAAGATGTTTTTCTTTTCAGCTGTTTCCATTGCCCATTCCTCAGGACTTCTCCTATTTTGTGTTGCAGGTGACCTTAATCCCAACCCATGACTCAGAAGTGATGAGGGAATGGTACCAAGAGACCCATGAGAAACAGCAGGACCTCAACATCATGGTTTTGGCAAGCAGCAGCACTGTTGTTATGCAAGATGAATCTTTTCCCGCATGCAAGATTGAACTGTAAGAACAAGACCATGCACCACAAGATTAAACTTTATTTCCAGAAATTCTTCAGTTTGAAAACACCTTTTCTAAAAATTCAACCCATCTATTTCAACTGCTGAACTATATACCTGCCAAATGCTATACTGTGTCATGGTGATGCAAGTCACTAATATTTTTCAGTCTTTGCTGATTGCTAAGGGAAATAACAGTATTCCCATAGTAGGGTTCAAATTACTGCAAAAATACAGATCCAGTTTCATCTCCGCTGAACATTTGGAAACCATGCACTAGCAGCCCCAACTGACTTCTGCCAGGTAGAGGCATTTGCCCTCTAATGAAACACAAAGAGAGAGAAAGAGAGAGAGGGGTAGGAGGAGAAAGTAAAAAAAATAATTAGAACTGCATTAGTCTCATGGCAATAGATGTATCGCTTACTGCAGTCTGCTTATGCTCTTACATGAAATGAAAGTTTTAAATTTGTATCAATCTGAGCTATCGCAAGGGGGATCCTTTTTTACAGAATTAAGGTAGCTGGAAAATAAAAAGAAACAGAACGTGGCTAGGAAGGGACGCACAACCTAAACGCTCATCAGCAGTTTTCCACTTTAATTTGAACTCTGCATACTGACATACCATAACAATCATAGGCCAAATATGCACGTAGTCTGCACCCCATCCAGAAGTCTAAAACCTTTCTTTCAACACGCAGAATTGTTGGTCTAAGGCATGCTCCCAGTGAAAGTCCACTTATTCCAGCCAGAACTGACCAGTCCACATGCTTGAACACCCATGTCCACTGTTGATTAACTGAAGCAAAATACCAAAGCGGTCGGGAGTACATACAGTAGACGATTTGCCTTAGAAAGTGACTTGAATGTACAAAGAAACTTGATGCACTTATTTTTTAATGTTGAGACAGCAAATTTATAAAACATCTGTGTAGGATCATAGTTACACCAGTAAAGAAGTGTGAGTGTGCATGTGTGGTACTAGAAACCCATCTGACTGGTCAAATGGCTTGGTGCTATGAATTACGTGTGTTAGTTATGTGAACGCTTCATTGATGCACCTGGACAGCTCAACAAGGCCACATGAGCATTTTTTTGAAAGCTTCTTTTGTACTGTGGAAGCAAGATTGAAGTGGTGTCCAGTATCAGAGTTACAAAACTTAATGAAACATTCGGAATGATGAAAAAGGTTACCTGTGAGCCTGTACAGTATTCAACCTTCCTTTGTCTTACCTTATTTTATTTGTTTAATTTAAGAGTGAATATGGGAACAAATGTACAGAAACCTTTTTTTTAGTGCTGCGTGAACTTTTAATAGATGAATTTTTAACAAACAGTTTCATTTGCAGGAAAATGCAAAGAAAAATTTTTCAGGTGAAGGCAATTTTTTTAGTAGTTTTGTAAGATAAATTAATAATGTTTAAGGTTCTAGTGAGAATGGATATTGAGGTAAAATTTATTGAAAATAGTCAACTGCCAATACCTTTTCGGGGTGGGGGGTGGAAGGGCACCCTGGCGGTAAAATCAATCTATTGATGATGACAGAAAATGGGATTTGAAAAGTTGATTGCCTAATACTTACAAGGGTATAACCTACATTCTCAACCCTCACAAGATCTTGAAAAAAAGATAGAATAAGCAATAAGCTGAAATAAGTCATTCTTTCCCCTCCTCTCCTTTCCTCTTTCCTCTCTCTTTCATCTCCTCTCCTCTCTCTTTCCTCCTCTTTCTATTTGTCCCCTTCCCTTCCCTTCCCTTCCCTTCCCTTCCCTTCCCTTCCCTTCCCTTTCCTCCTCTCATTTCCCCTTCTTTTACTCTTCCTCTTCCTTTCTCCTTCCTTTCCTTCCCTTTCCTCCTTCCTCTACCCCTTTCTTTCCTTCTCTAGACTGTTTGCAGAGCAACAGCATCACTGTTCTGTGATTTAAGACAGTTTGGATTTTTTTAGGCCTAGAAATTTTACCCCAATTAAAAAAAATAATCTTGTTACATTGTAGAAGGTTTGCAAATCTGAATTTAAAGAAGGTGTAAAGGCCTCCAGAATGGAGATATGTGCTGGTCTGTATGATTCACGATTATGGCTGGTATTAAGTTTCACAATGTAGTGAACTATGACCTCATTTTATTTTCTTTACTTATAATTTATTTCAATTTTACATTGTTAGGATATTTTTGTTTAATAGGTATATGTTTGCACTCCTAATTTTTATGAGGGTTTTTTAATACTGCTTTAGGGTCCTTTAAATATGGGCTCCTGGGGCCCATTTAATGCTGTGAATTACTGTGTGTCAGTTGTTGGGGGTTTTGATTTATTTTTAATGTCTTCTCTTTTTTTAGGTATCTCTAGCAATGCTGTTTTATTTATTGCTATACCTTTTAAGTCGTTAAGAATAACTCAGAATGACTATGGCACAAAAGGCAGATGGAAATGTATTGTGAAAACAAGCATGTTTGCTGGGCTCATAAAAATTCACTTAAAATTGCTTTTGTAATACATTGTCTACAAAGTTGTAGGTGAAATGTTGGGCAGAATAGTTGTACTATTTCTACAATTCTTTCTGCTTTGTCTACTTTCTTATATAGGTCAGATTTCAAACTTTTTGAGTGGGTGGGAACAGATTTTCTGATTTTCTGACAATATCTGAAATGGTTTGTATTTCTGCTTTGGCAGAAAATCTGTTTTAAGTACAGCAGTGGTCCTGAGACGAATCTCACTTACGCCACTTACTCCTGTGAATCAGGAGCAATTTCACTACAGTCAGGGACGTTACAGTCATTTGGTCCTACTGTAAATGAAATTGGAATCAAGCCTTAAGTCTCCCCAAGCAAGTTCGTGATGGCTCAAGCATTTGTTTACTTTTAAAATAGTAACAATAATTAGACAGTTACAGCTGATCTTAAAATGTACTTTCGCTTTTTTGCTGCTACAAGATTATTAAAACCCCAGTCTGGCTATTCTGAGGTATTGTAATGCCTGTTCCATCCATTCCCTTTCAAATGGCAATGGCGCCTGGGTGCAACACAGCGATGAACTCCTCCATTAGCTCCTCTTGCCCTTAATGTCTTTCCTGCCTGTGGAACTAATCTAACTGTGCTAGTCCTAGTACTACACAATTAGTTTAGTGTAACAGTCATCAAAATGTACCGTGTACATTAACGATGAGTGCTGTTGATCAGCATAGATTTCTAGGAGCATGGTTTGTTATTGATTACTCTAATTATAAAAATTCAATATCTGAGTGTAAAGGACACTCCATTTAAACGACGGTATTACCCGTAAAAGCATCCCCAGTCATGATCTTTATGCTATTACTATACTGCTTCATATAATGCAATGAAGAATTAACTTTAGAGATCCCACCCCACTCCTGAACTTAGACAGGGCCTCTCTTGCATGCCTTTTCAAAGTCCTGTGGTGGGCCTGACTTCATCGACCTCTATTTACACCCCATCTTTCACAGAAATCACTTTTGATTATTATTTTTTTTTAAATTTACTTTACATACTGTGGTGAATGGAGATAGCTGTGTATATGAATGTGTTGGATTTTTTTTTTAAGTTGTCTATGATAGCTTACGCATTTTAGGAGAGTTCTGGTACTCATTTACTAAGATTTAATCAATTAGTTAATTGAATTTTCAATCCCTCCCACCACAAGCAAGTCAACTCCAAAGAGTGCTTACTGTGCATTTGGGACATTTCTGTCATACGCTTCTCTTTGTTCATCTGTCGCCAGAGGTTCTTGCTCAGTAATGATGTTTTGAGAGAAATAGTAATTTTATTGGTCTGGATTTATTAGAAAAGGAGAAAGTATAATGTTTACACTTGAAAGAAACAAGCTTTCATCTTTTCACTTAATAATTGAACAAAACACTAAAAGCAACTAGGGGTAAGCATTTCTTAGAATGCAATTATATTATTCACCTGGTTTAAAAATGTTTGCTATTTAAAAAGAAAAAAGTCTGTTTGTTGTGACTTTACAAAAAAATCTAAAAAAAAAAAGTAACTAAATAAAACAATGTCATAAAAATCTAGAAAAAAAAAAAAAAAAGAAGAATTAAAAAAGCAGCTTCTCTGCACTAGACTAGCTAGGAGCTCCAGATGGCAGGAGCTACCTCTTCAAGACTGGGCTGTAATCACAACTGTAAAAGAGGAAATATGGAATATGCTTTCACGCATTTGCATGCAGCCATTATCTTCCAAACTATGGAAAGAAACAGTCTTGTTGCTGGCTGAGAAGCACCTCACACACCTCCTCTCTCTTGTTCTGAATGGTGTTTGTGTCAGTCTGCAGCTGTGTATGGTATTATGTCTTATAATCCTGCATCACTTCTATTCTATCCAGTCATATCTAATGTAGAAAATTAGTTTCCAGTGAAAGTAATATGTAGTGCTTTTATGATATTTGTGTGCAATATCCCCTCTTCCATTGAGGATATTTGATGTAAAGGAAACAAACTCAGTTCCACAATAAAATACAAAAGTGGTAAATTGGTGTTGACATGTTTCTTGTCTTTGTGTATGTATGTATTTTTAAGTTTTCCCTTTCCTTCAATCATGTTTACCTACTATATGGGTTTTTTTTTCTCAAAAGACCAATGACTATTTAAATACTAGATGAGAAACAATCTCTATTTATAAATTGGAAAATATATGCAGAAGATTACTTTTATCTCTTGTGGCGTAAAACATTACCATGATGTACCATGACATGGCTTTTTTTCATTGTTCTCATTTCTGTATCCCTCAGCAGCATGAGAAAACACTTCATTTTCAGTAAGTACACGTTCAAGGGGCTGTGTCGGAGATGATACCAAATAAAGTTACATCAAACTGAGCCCACCCTGGTTTGGAAAAGAGGTCTTTTTCAAAGTTGTTGTAGTTGAACAAGAGCGCACAGCTTGGCTCCAGTGGACATGGACCCTTCCTGACCACCGCTGCCCAGTAATCCTTGTGAGAGGGGATGGAGCATTTGGGAAGCTGGGGTCTCAGTTTAGTTTTTTTACTTTATAAACATCAGACTTTTCTTCTATTGCTGTTAAAAGGATGCTGTAAGATCAGGCTTTCTGCCTTTGTAGTTTTGCTTGCTGCCACGATGCCTGCTCTGGCGAGTTGCAGCAGGCAACTCTTTCTTTTTTTAGCTCCAGGAGAAGGTAACGACAAGAAAGCAGGTACAGGCAGGGGCAGCAGAGAGCAAGGGGTGCTCGCTCCCAGGAGAAGCAGTGGCCCTGCAGGATTTCCTTCACCCTCAGACAGCAGTCTTTTTTGGGGGCCCGCATCTGTCTCCAACACCTAGGGTTTCCTTTGTAACTTCTAATGACATTGATAAGAAATACTGTATTTGGCTTGAATTGGGCTGAGTGTGGCAAAGTAGAGAAAAGTGGACACCAAATGAGATGAGTCAACTGTTGCAAATTTTGTATCTCAAGTATAATTCTGCATATGTCTACATCAAGGTTTCTTGAGCTGTTGTGGTAGATTTGCCTGATGCTACTTAAAATATATTAAAATGATTGTGCAAAGCAGAC